GCGCGCGGGCGGTGCGGGAGCCGGGAAGCCCCCGAAGCGCAACGCCTTCTACCGAAAGCTACAGAATTTCCTCTACAACGTGCTGGAGCGGCCCCGCGGCTGGGCGTTCATTTACCACACCTACGTGTAAGTGGCCCGCAATGAGGTGCGCGGTGGGCGGGCGAGACCCTAGCCCGGCCATGGGTTGATTGCCGGCGCAGCTGCGGTGGACTGAGGGGCCCTGGTGTGCGTGTCCGCGCGCGCGCCTGGGTCGCGTCGTGGGCGTGGGGTTTGGGTCACGGCACTGCAGTCCCTGATTGAAGCGAAGGACAGAGATTGGAGAGTGACTTTGGAGTCACTGTTTTTTTTTTGGGGGGGGGCTTTACATCCGCCTTGCTGGGTTGTACCAGCCCTTCCCCCGCAGGACGGGATGTGCTGGTGCCCCAGCCCCCCTCAGCCCGAGAGGCCCCTCCCCACGGCCCGCAGCGCGGAACAAAGGGCCGGCGAGGAGGGAGGGCTGCTAGGCTCTAGGTTTGAACTCATCCGCCCCTCTGCACCCATGGATCTCCCCAACAACCAAATAGGGGTGGTGAAGAGTGCTGGCCTCTTCTCATCCACCCTCCTAACCTCTTGCTACCCATCTGAGCTTCCGGGTTTCAGAAATGGGGAGGGTACCTAACATCATATCACCTCAGCCCTGTGCTGAGGGCACCTGCTTGCACCCATCCCTGGAGGCCCACTTTCCTTGTCCTCTACATTCCAAACAACCCATTTGCACCTGATGGCCCCTCTACACATTCTGGGCTCTAAATCCCTAAGTGGAGATCAGCAGTAGGGACTGCTGTTGTCCCCCAGCACTGCCAGCTTTGGGCCTGGAAGGTGCTGGTCCTTGTCCCCAAGTCTGGCACTCCTCCTGGGGCAGAGCTGGCAGAGGCAACCCTGCATTCATGAGCGTGTGTGTGGGTGTGTGGGTGTGCGTGTGTGTGGGTGTGTCTGTGTGTGTGTGTGTGTGTGTGTGTGTGTGTGTGTGTGTGTGTGTGTTAGAATGCATAACCTCCCAGTGCAAGGACGATGGCTCTCCCATTCCAGTGTAACCAGGGACAGAGGAGGAGCACTGAGACTCGGCCATTTTGTATGAAAAGCATTTGGGGATGGGAGTGACACCCATGTTCAGGAAAAGTCTCTATCAAGGTGCCCACCTGTCCTGGCCTTGGCAGGGTATGTGTTCTGTGAGTGGGCCAATGTGTCTGGGAGTGTTCTGTGTGTGATTTGGATAGGTTTGAGGGAAGGAACATAAAGGGAGATTCTGGGGGCTGCCTGCAGAATGATGTCCTGGGAGTAGCTACAGCCTGGGGTGTGTTTGTGTGTGTGTGTGTGTGTGTGTGTGTGTGTGTGGCCTTCTGGGGACAGTCCTAAGGTTCCCCAAGGTAGAGGTTTCTCCAGATAGGCTGGCCAAGGGGAGCAGGCGGTGGTGTCAGCCCCCACCCCCTCCAGAGAGGTGAATTTGATTTTCCTCTACCCAGGGTGCTGTATTTCTCTTTACTCCAAAGAAGAGTCCATGTGTCTCTCCCTAACGGCCCTTCTGCTCTAGCCACCTTCTCCCTGCCTGTCTTGGGGCCCAAGAGTTTCTACTGTGGCTGGCTGTAGATAACCAGCTCCTGGCCCGAGGTGACTCCTGAGACACAGACAGGGTGAAATTCTGTGTCCATAGGGCTGGGTGTGGATATTCATGATGGCAGCATTATCTGGGATTCTTTTTTGAGTCTGTAGCTTCTATGGGGTCCTGTCCTGTTCCTGGGTCTGACTTATCAGCATCTCTGTTTCTGCTTCTTGCATCCTGTTTCCTAAAACCAGCAGCATCCTGAGTTCAGAGTCCAGTGTGGGAAGCCCTTGCTCTATAGGCTCTGTGCCCTCCTTCCACCTACATATCCCCAAGTCTGCCCCAGTCCATCATACGGCAACCCCTGGCCCTGAAATGTACCAGACTTTAGTTAGGGTTTAGACCTTAGCATAAAGGCATCCTGCTTCAGCCAGCTGCAGGCCCTTGGCATCTTTACTTTGTGGCTTGGTCTTGCAGGGAGGTGTCTTGGGGATGGGGCCAGGAGAGAGAGCATTGAAGAACAGAGAGTTTCTGGTTGCTAACTTGGGGCCAGACACAAGAACCCCTGTTAGCCTTATTTTTTCATCAGTAAGGTGGTAACAGCCATTCCTAGCTCCCTGGACTTTGTAAAGACCAACTGATATTTTCTAGGCTGCCTTTTGATCCCATTGCGAATGGTGACATATCTCTGACTGCCTTTGTTGCTCATGACCCATCCCCTCAGTTTCCAGACATGGAACCTTCCACACTGACCCCTATCTGATTTTGGTAACCCAATGGCTTGAGATTCCTGAGCTTGTGGTCAGCTCTTGTGTCGACAGTTGACAGCTATGGAGTAGGCCACTCTGTGTTAGACAGTATTTGGTTAGTTCACTAGTTAGCAAAGACGATGCAGCCCCTCCTGGTATCTAGTGGGGGAACAGAGCCAAGGCTCATAGAAGTGAGTCCCTCATCTAATCAGTGCTGGGTTTTCTGGGCCACTTTCCTTCTGCCTTTGGCCATCAAAGCCTGATTTGTGAGAGGTCTAGTTGTACCAGTTTCTTGGCCAGTCCTGCTGGATCTCTGAAGGGCAGCCACTGTCCAGAGTCAGGAGGGAAGTGGCCACCCTTAGTTTGGACCCTGGTGAACTAGGTCAATCAGACCCCCTGTCCACAGGGCTCTGCAGTATGCATTTTACAAAATGATGCCAATATGTACTGCTTGTGTGAGATATTTTCAGAAATAGCTCTGCACTCAGTCGGGGCAGTGGGGGGTCACCCAGGCAGAGACACTGTGGCTTGCCCAGCTCATCTCAAGGGTGAGCCACAGCAAAGACGAATCTAGGCAGAGGTGGGAGTATTATGGGGGCCTTAGAGGAATCATGCCCATCTGTTGTGTCCAAGAGAGCTGAGTGGTAGCTACAAGTAACTTGTGACATAGGGAAAAGTTGCTGGGTCATAATACTCCTACCACATGCTGGCCTTATGGCTAGAGGAGCTTGATGGGGAAACAGGATAAAAATGTTTGCCCGTGTAAGCTGAGAGTGGTCTGCCTTAGAGCTGAGAGTGTAGATAGCTTGGTATTTCCAACATCCAGGCCAGTGGGCAGCTAGAAAAAGATGGCATTTGAAACAACTAAGTGGAAAACCAAGTCATGAGGATTTATATCTGGATTCTGGGCTTGCCCACGGCTCATCTCTTTAGGCTGATCACCAAGGCCCCTCTGTCCACAGTGTCTAAAGTATTCCTGTAGGGACCCTAGGCATTCAGAGCCATTGCCAGAGGCTGTCCAACCAGGTGTCACCTCCCATTTCATAGAAAGAGCGACATCCAGGATCAGGGCCTTGTTCAAGGGTCTTTGGGTGCTTTGGGCCCAGATAGGCCTCCTTCCCCGGTAGAATGGTGTCTAGGATGTCTTGTAGCTCTTTTTCATCCCCATTAACTGCTTTTAACTTTTAACTGGTAAGAGCCCTGGAAGTTGGAGTTGGCAGGTCATATGAGGAGTAGGTACAGGCCTGATCCTCACCTGAGGCGGACAGGAGAGGTGTTTACTTGGAGTCCCAAGGTCTGGTCTCTGTATGGTATGTGGCATTTAGAGAAGAACCCTGATCACTGAATGGCAGCATGTGCTCAGCTTCTCTCAAGGAGCAGGTCTTCCTGCAGCCTCATTGATTGAGATTCAGAAAATCTTATGGAAATTTCCCAAAAGATGGGAATACCTCAGAGAGTTGTGGTTTCCAGGGAAACCTGTGTTTCTTCCCAGGCCTGCTCACAGTTTCTAACCCTCAGCGATGGCTTAAACAGCACTGAAGAGATAGAACAATCGCAGTCCCTCTGCCCTGGTTATGTGTAGAGTAAATCTTTAAACACCCTTGCATCTGTAAAGAAACAATGAATTAGCAAGTAGGCAGGGAGCTCTCTGGGTAGTGTTGCAGATGAGAGCAGAGAACCTCATTTTTATGGACATCAGCATGAGTCAGCCATATAAAGCCATCTATAGAGACTCAGAAAGACCCACAGCGTGTCACCAGCCTGAAGAAATTGGACATGGAGAGTGCTAGGTGCTCCCAGGTGCTGGCCTTGTAGGTAGGAGGCCTATCTCTGACTCTGAAAGTACTTGAGTCTGGAGTGCTTTCAAGGACACTGCCAGGGACAGTGTCTGAGTGCAGATGGAACCCAGTAGTGAATGCGGGGCATTTAGTATTTTCCAGTGAGGAAAATACACAAGCTTTTGTAGATCCTTATGATCCAGGCTATGCCACTGCACCCCTGGTGAGGTGTTCTGACCCCCTGCTGTTGAGAAAACAGGACTGTCATGTTCCTCAGTCTGTAGCAGTGAGAACAGAGTTCACTACTTACTGTAGGGTTGAATCTAGGGAAATGGGCAAGTCCTTAGGACCAAGGGCTCTTTGGAGAACTTTGTGGTGTGTACTAACAGCTGGATTTGGGCATTCAAGGGCTGAACTGACAGGTGAAAGGATGGAGAAGGGAGATGGCCTGTGTGCTATGCCATCTTCATCCTTGAAGTTGGATGGAAGGGTTGGCCCTGGCCCTGATCCTGGTCATATCCTTTAAAAGCTGAAGTGATATTAGTGGGCCCCATTTTGGGAGTAAGCTCTGTACTGGCAGCTGCTGTCCCCTGGTAAGGCAAAGTTGATAAGGGAGAAGGCTTCATTTCAGACACTTTGGCATGTGCCCATTTCTTATTATTACAAATAGTTCCGAGTGAAGCAGACCACCTTGCCATGCAACTATCTGTGTGTCCTCTGCACATCAAGTATGCATTTTAGCTGTAGCTACTGGAGGTGAGGTTAGCAGGGGACTCTTTTTTTAATTTTTTTTTTGAGACAGGGTTTCTCTGTGTAGTTTTGTAGACCAGGCTGGCCTTGAACTCACAGAGATCCACCTGCCTCTGACTCCCAAGTACTGGGATTAAAGGTGTGAATCACCACTGCCTGGCAGGCAGGGGAATTTTGTTACCTCTCGGGGGTGAAGGATGACAGGGTTGGGACTGAAGGTTCTGTTGGCCCTGCTTTCACTGACTAGGTCCAGATTCTGGACTTCAATTT